CCCCTAGGAAAGCAACATTAGTAGTAACAGTAACGCTAAGCTATAAAGCTAAGCTAAAGCTAAGCTACAGCCAAGCTAAAGCTAAGCCACAGCTAAGCCAAAGTTAAGCTAAAGCCAAGCTAAAGCCAAGCTAAAGCTAAGCTAAAGCTGAGCTAAAACTGAGCTAAAACTGAGCTAAAGCTGAGCTAAAGCGAAGCTAAAGCTAAGTTAAAGCTAAGCTAAACGCTAAGCTAGAGCTAAGCTCAACGCTAAGCGAAAAGCTAAGCGAAACGCTAAGCTAAAGCTTTGCTGCAGCTGAGCTAAAGCTAAGCTACAGCTAAGCTAAAGCTAAGCTAAAGCTACAGCTAAAGCTACAGCTAAAGCTCCCAGGGGACTGGGGGGAACCGCTCCCAGGGGACTGGGGGAACCGCCCGGGGCGCTTAGCACTGCCCGGCCCTTTTTGAGCTAAGAGAGCAAGAACCCGTCTAGGCAGAGCCTAGGTAGGGAATTAAAATGCGAAAAAGTATTGAACACGGATGATTTTTGACAAGCGGGGTGGTGGCGATACCGGCCTGCCCAGGATGTGTGATCTCATATTTCGGATGGGCGGTGGGGCAGAGTCATGTAAAAATTGCAATGCGCGACGGTGTGCCGTTAATCCCGTGGGGGGGGGGGGAATCCCAATACTGTGTTAGAAAAAAGAATCCATGTGACGCAATCTCTGTGGCACAATATACGTGACGCAACCTAGATATTGCAAGCAATGTGGTGCACTAAATGTTGTTCCAGGGTGTGCAACATGTCGTGGTGCAATCTATGTTTTGCAATTTCTGTCGGCCAGTACATATATGTATGTATGTACGTATGTATGTATGTATGCATGTATAATATATATATATATATTATATATATATATATATATATATATATATATATATATATATATATATATATATATATATATAATATATATATATATATATATATATATATAATATATATATATATATATATATATATATATATATATATATATATTATGTACAGTCGATGTAAAGCAATATCTGTTATGCAACATCCGATGCGACGGGGGCGACAGGGCGGCGACGGCGACACCACGGCCGTCAGACCGACAGACGGGCTCCAACTGCGGGCGGCGACGAGGCGGCGACGGGGCGGCGACGACGGCAACACAACCGCCAGACCGACAGACAGGCTCAATTACGAGCGGCGACGAGGCGGCGACGGCGGCAACATCGTCGACAGAGACCGACAGACATGCCCAGTTGCTAAGTGGAGAAGAAGAGGAGTCCCTAAATGCAAACACTGTTTGAGGAAACGTAGGAAGGAGAGGGAACGCGTCCCGAAAATGATGAGCGCCTTCCCAGAAAGCGGGGAACAGATGAATTGATGAAGGAACGCTCTAAATCACCTTCACTCAGAAGGTTGGTCGGACTATTCGCAGATGCTTGGGTCAAATTCGAATGGTCACCACTTGTCGGAATGGTTTTGCTGAACTTGTTGGCCATTGCAACATCGACAACACGTGTGGCTAGAATCCACCGACCCTGTCTGCGTGCGCATGGGACTTTTCTGTTATAATCCTCGTCGTCGTCGTCGTCGTCGTCGTTGTCGCCATTCCTCTCCTGTCCGTGGGTCATCTCCCTCAGACATTCCATCTAGATGGAACTCGAGCTCCAAGAGGGCCCTGAAGCAGCCCAAGATCGGTCCAAGACGGCCCAAGATGTCCTCAAGACGGCCTCGGGGCCCCCCAAGACGCACCAAGAGGGCTCCAAGAAGAGCCCCAAGAAGGCCCCAAGACAAACACATCTGTGATTTTCATTGTGTTTTTTGTAGTGTTGTTCCCGCCCTCGCCTGTCCGGGCTTCCTACGCCCCAAAACGGTCCAGAACGCCCCTCAAATCGCCCCAAAACGGCCCAATTAGCTGCCGGAGACGCCCCCAAACTGCCCAAGACGGGCGATGCCGGAACCAGCAGGGGATGCCGCGGCCCAAGATAGCTCCAAAACAGCCCAAAATGCTTTCAAGACGGCCGACGAGGGCTCCAAGAAGGCCCCAAGAGGCCCCCGAAAGCTGGAACACCACCCGAAAATTCAAGCCTTCCGTCCCAAAAAGGCTCCCAAGAGACTCCAAGAGGCCCCCAGGAAGCCCCCAGGAGACCATCAAGAGGCCGAAGAGAGCTCCAAGGGCACTCCCAAGAGAACCTTAACAGGGCAAAATCAAAGATGTCCAATCAATTTCTGAATGATTTTCGTCGTCGCCGTGATCGCCGTGGTCGTGTTCGTGGTCGTGGCCATGATCGTGGTCGTCGTCGTCCTTCAGGGTCGGCGGCACCAGCCGTGGGGCCTTCACAATAACATAGCCAACGCCGGTCCCAAAACGGACGGCTACGGCAACAACACCCGGCCCTATTGCGAAATCGCGCAGTTTGGGGATGACTGCAAGTCCGGCGAGCCGATTGCACGACGGCCGTGATTGCGTGTTCTGCCACGGCTGCCACACACAATACCAATGACAAGAACAGCAGCCACAACTACACAGGAAACTGCGCGGCAGCGCAGTAGCGGTAATGCAAGTATTTTGCAGGTGCGGATGCGAAACAGTCCCCCCTTCAAGAACAGCTTACCCCGACCAGGAGAATACGGCAGTCCCCCTTCCCCGTGAAATCCAGGTTGGGCTCCGAGTCCCGCGTGGCATTGGACATGTTCGTTCGACAGCGTATTGGTGGGCACGTCTAGGCCTCCACGTGTGGTATTCCATCCGCGGCAACGTCGCGAATGCGTACGGTATTGGTCCGATATGGGCATCCTGTATGTCTTGGGAAGTGTGCTCCAGCGTGAACCGTGTGCACCTTGCCTGAAGGTAGTCGCGTACACGCTTCAATCCCCAAACACCTCCTCCTCCTCCTCCTCCTCCTCCTCCTCCTCCTCCTCCTCCTCCTCCTCAGCTGCGTGCTCAGTGCAGTGTTGTATCATTTGGATTCGGCTTGCTTGGTAAAACAAGCAGAAAGCGATTAGATGCGGTTCGCCTGGCGTTAGCGACACCTTTTTCCACGTCCTACTTGTAAGACAAGATGGTGCACCCATAACTCGCGACATACGTCGCCGCAGGGGGCTGCCGCGCCAACTCTGGGCAATGAACATACCCGTTTGTGAATTGCTATGTAAGGAATATTTGCAGCGCCTCTGGAGCTGGAATTACCCGACGCTGGATTCATACGATCTATTGCACCCGAGTGTGTCATCTGGTATTGGTTTTCACTTTCGAGGGTACGACCCTGTTTTAGCCCCCGAGCGCTTGCGCCCAGCCCGGCACCACGAACGTGGAAGGGAACATGCTGTTCGGGGAAGCGAGGTATGTCAATCAGCTTCCTTCTGGGATGCACTTCCCAGAAACCTTCTTGCTGCAAAAATAGCTTGAGCCTCCAGCTAGATGGCTACCAAACCAACAGGCCCCAAACAGGAGACTCCCGAACGATCTCGAAGAAGGCCCAAACTTTCCATCGGGGCTGCGGAAAGGCACTGTGATATCACGTGGTCCTTTGGGTCTTGGGGGACGACTGCAACTGCCACAGGACACACTGTTCAGGGAAACATGGGACGCACAGAGACATACTAAGACTATACGTGCGTTCTCCTCGGAGGCGCGCGTCCGACTCGAACACACAGTATACCCATCTTGTAGCACATCGTTTCCCAGCGGGGTTGCCAGAAAGCGCCCGCCACGACGCATGTACTGTGCGACCTCTCACTGCGCGGGTCGCCCCTGGGGGGGGCGACGCACACGTAGTGTACAGTCGAGGCGTTGACCTGAGGGACCCTAAATAAGGAGCGAGGCCCCTTTTCCCCATAAGTTCAACCTCGATGTCCCGTGGAAAACCTCAGGAAAGCCCGAGGCAAACTTTGAAACCTGCAAGGAACACCGAGCCCCTCCCCAGCGAAAAGGGTTCCTTCTTCAGCGCCCCGACTGTATAGAAGCACGCGGGGGTGACGCCGAAGGCAGGTGCAGCGGGGGGGGGACGCCGCAGCAACCGCACCGGGAGGCGAACCGTGTGCGGGCCTGTGGCCTCGCCCAGAACAACACGCACAGCAGAGCTCGTGAAACTGGCACGATACGGAGTGGGCCGCGCGGTCGCCCAAAAACTGCCTGGGAGGAGGGAGGAGGAGACAGAGAACCGGACAGGAAACTGCCACATGATTGACTACGGCCTTCCTGTGGCCATCGCTCGGACGTCCAGTCCCTGTGTTTTTTTCGGTTTCGCGCGTGTTTTTGTCGCCAAATGATCAAGGATGCTCCTCGATGGTCCTCGCCGAAGGAAAAATGCACACGTCCGAGCGATGCCAAGTTCCTTGGTTGGGCTGGGAAAGCGAGCCGTCGCACGCCACGGCCCCCAGGGGGGCCCTGGGTGAAGAGAGGTGCCACGCATGCGGCGGGCGTGCGGGTCGCTGAGGAACACGGCCGGCACACGCCGCGGCCCTCCCCCTGGAGGCGGAGTGGGGAGGAGGAGGAGGAGGAGGAGAGGAGGAGGAGGGAGGAGGAGGAGGAGGAGGAGGGGAGGAGGAGGAGGAGGAGGAGGAGGAGGAGGAGGAGGAGGAGGAGGAGGAGGAGAGGAGGAGGAGGAGGAGGAGGAGGAGGAGGAGAGGAGGAGGAGGAGGAGAGGAGGAGGAGGAGGGAGGAGGAGGAGGAGGAGGAGGAGGAGGAGGAGGAGGAGGAGGAGGAGGAAGGAGGAGGAGGAGGAGGAGGAGGAGGAGGAGGAGGAGGAGGAGGAGGAGGAGGAGGAGGAGGAGGAGGAGGAGGAGGAGGAGGAGGAGGGAGGACGGAGGAGGAGGAGGAGGAGGACAGGGAGGAGGGGGAGGAGTGGGGAGGGCGAGGAGGAGGAGGAGGAGGAGGAGGAGGAGGAGGAGGAGGAGGAGGAGGAGGAGGAGGAGGAGGAGGAGGAGGAGGAGGAGGAGGAGGAGGAGGATTTCGCTGGCAACCAACCACACAGTGCAGGAAGAGGGGGGGAGGAGGCGGAGGAGGCGGAGGAGGCGCGAGAAAAGCGTGCCACTTGTTACGGCCCTTTGCGAGCCGAGGGCGGAAGCTGCCACACGTTGCGGTCGTCCGCGCGGGTTTTGGAAATGGCCACCATACATGAGCATGCCTGGCACGGAGTGCGACACTAGCGGCAAACATCGAAATCATGCTCTCAACATGTACGATGCTGAATGTGCAAGATTACCATATTCGTGAGGGCGCAACAAATACCGCAAGGCAGCGCGAACTGGAACAGATCGGGATATCGGGGGCGAATTCAGATGCAGTAGTGGATCATGTCATGGTAACTTGTGGAAACACGGAGACGAGTCACCTTTTCGCATCCGGCGGAACTCACGAGCAAGTACGCCACTTAATGGTCATTGGTTGTCCCATTCCGCACTACATAAAGTGAAACGCTCCCTTCAGTGCTGTCGGGCGTGACATGTCTCTCAAGAGTAAGAGCTGGCACCTCGATTAACACGGCCACCTGAGGCAAGAACGGCAATAATTGCAATACCGTCGATGCCCTCAAGGTCTTCCCCCCCCACCTGCATTCCGTCACCCCAGATGGAGATCTCTGAGGACCGCCTCCCGGTTTCCGTTTCTCCTCTCGTGCTCCTGCCCCGCGCATACCAAGCACGCTCACCGTTCCTCGTCTTGACAAGCGCTGCCCAGGGTCGGCGCTGAAAAGATAGCGTGCCACATCGACCTCAGAAAACATGCTACCCCTGTGAGGCAATCCCCCCCGCGAGGGCCCCCTCTGTGCGCGCTTGCCCCCCTGCCAGGGGACTTCGTCAGTGCACGCTATATCCCCGAGGCGCGGGCCGGCGTGCAATCGGCGGGCCGGCCGGCGGCCACACTGCACGCCATCTTCCCGGCGCCTAACTGTGTGCCTGCTGCCTCCCCTGAGATCCGACGCGGCGACACAACCCTGCAACGTCGTGAAACATCATGCCTGGAACCCTGAGCTTCGCAGAATGCATCTAATAAATACACCACCGCCGTGCCAAGGCAGGGCCATCCCGGGCCCCAGGATGGTGTATACGCCCTCCTGGCCGAAGCCAAGAGGGTCTATACACCATTCTGGGCCCCAGGATGGCCCTGGCTTGGCACGGTGGTGGTGTATAGATGCCTTCGTCGGATGAACCCATCTTGCTGCGTCACTTCTCGGGCCGGGTCGACCTGCGAGGGTCCTGGGGCCCGAAGAGACCAAACAATGTCGGGCTCGACAAAACTGCGAAGCCAGGATCTCAGGGTTCGCTGCCTCCCGACTCTCTGGCAGCGGTCCGAGGAATCTGTCGACCGCCCTCGGGGCGCCTGCGTCGTGGGCCGTGGCCATCCCGAGGGCAGTCGTCGATGAGAGAAGGACGGAGGTTCTATTCTATTCTATTTCCCTACCTAGGCTCTGCCTAGAAGGGTTCTTGCTCTCTGGGCTTAAAAGGGCGGGCAGTGCAAACCGCCCCGGGCGGTTCCCCCGGTATCCGCCCCGCGGTTCCCCCAGTTACGTCCCCTTAGCTTAGCGTTGCTTATCTCATCTTAGCTCAGCTTAGCTTAGCTTAGCTTCATCTTAGATTCGCTTAGCTGCAGCTTAGCTGTAGCTTAGCTTAGCTTAGCTTAGCTTAGCTTAGCATATCATAGAATAGCCCACCAAACGGGCAATCTGTGCGCAATTTCGCGCTCGCGCACCCAGGTGGGCAATCGGAGCGCGACTTCGTGCTCGCGCGCCCAGGCGGACCATTCCGGATGCGATTTCGCGCCCTCGCGCCCAGAGGGGCAATTTGAGCGCAATTTAGCGCGTGCGCCCAGGCGGGCATCCTGAGCGCGAATCCGCGCTCGCGCGCCCAAGCGGGCCATTCCAGGTGCGATTTCGCGTTCCTGCGCCCAAACGGGCAATCGGTGCGCAATTTCGCGCTCGCGCGCCCAGGTGGGCCATCGGAGTGCGACTTCGTGCTCGCGCGCCCAGGCGGACCATTCTGGATGCGATTTCGCGCCCTCGCGCCCAGAGGGGCAATCTGAGCGCAATTTAGCGCTCGTGCGCCCAGGCGGGCATCCTGAGCGCGAATCCGCGCTCGCGCGCCCAAGCAGCCCATTTCAGGTGCGATTTCGCGCTCCGCGCCCAGACGGGCAATTTGAGCGCAATTTAGCGTTTGTGCGCCCAGGCGGGCAACCTGAGCGCGAATCCGCGCTCGCGCGCCCAAGCGGGCCATTGCAGGTGCGATTTCGCGCTCCCGCGCCCAGGGGAGCAATCTGAGCGGAGTTTCGCGCCCGCGCGCCCAGGCAGGCATCCTGAGCGCGAATCCGCGCTTGCGCGCCCAAGCAGGCCATTCCGGGTGCGGTTTCGCGCTCCCGCGCCCGGACGGGCGATCTGAGCGAAATTTTGCGCTCGTGCGCCCAGGCGGGCATCCTGAGCGCGAATCCGCGCTCGCGCGCCCAAGCGGGCCATTTCAGGTGCGATTTCGCGCGCCCGCGCCCATGCGGGCAATCTGTGCGCAATATTGCGCCCGCGCGCCCAGACGGGCAATCAGAGTGCGAATCCGCGCTCGCGCGCCCAAGCGGGCCATTTCGGATGCGATTTCGCGTCCCGCGCCCAGACGGGCAATCTGAGCGTAGTTCTGCGCTCGCGCGCCCACGCAATCAGAGTGCGAATCTGTGCTCGTGCGTCCCGCGCGGCCGTTCGGGATGCGATTTCGCGTCCTCGCGCCCAGACGGGCAATCTGGGCACAAATTAGCGCTCGTGCCCCAGGCGGGCATCCTGAGCACGAATCCGCGCTCGCGCGCCCAAACGGGCCATTCCAGGTGAGATTTCGCGATCCCGCGCCCAGGCGGGCAATCTGGGTGCAATGTTGTGCTCGCGCGCCCAGACGGGCAATCAGAGTGCGAATCCGCGCCGCGCGCTCAAATGGGCAATTCCGGACGCCTTCCCGCGCTCACGCGGCCAATTGGCCCATTTTGGGCGCGATTTCGCGTTCGCGCGGTTAGATGGGCAATCTGAGCGCAATTGCAACCCGAGCGCAGCTTTCGGAAGCGATTTCGCGTCTTGCCCCCGGAAGGGCGATCTGGGCGCAAATGCGCGCTCGCGCGCCCAGACGGGCAGCCCGAGCGTGATTCCACGTTCGCGTGCCCGAACGGGTCCTTTGAGTGCAATGTCGCGCTCCCGCGCTCAGAGCGGCAATCTGAATGCAACTGCGCGCTTGCGCGCCCAAACGCGCGACAGCACATGGGCGAAGATGCGTGGGGTTGTGTGGGTTTCGCTCCTGCAGGGCAATCTAAGCGATTTCCTCCAGCGACTGGGCGCTGCCGCGCTCAGAATTGAAATATGGCCGCAATTTCGCGCTATGTAGCGCTGGCGCAGGCGAACCTCCGCACAAGAGCGCGTAGACGCGCACGGGCGCGGCGTTTCGGCGCGCGAAGGCGCGCGCGCGCAAGTACGTGGCGCAGGCAAGTGCTTGGAAGCGCGCAGTGCCGGACGCGCCGAGCGCAGACGCGCGAAATGCTTGGAGGCGCGCAGCGCCGCACTGAAACGCGCACGGGCGTTCAGGCGCGTGCAGCCGCACTGGCGCGCAGGCGCAGAGACGCGCACAGAAGCAAAGGGACAAAGAAGCGGTCAGAAGGGCGCAGAACCGCCCAGCATCGAGAGGGGTGCGCTGGGCACGCAGGAGTGCGCATGGCCGCCCAGGTGTATTGGCACGCAGAAGTGCGCACTGGTGCGGCGGAGGCGCGTATTCCGTAGTTAAGCGCAGAGAGCGCACAGGCGCGTAGAGGCACGCCGCGGCGCGCGCCGTGCGTTGTCGCGCGGCGCAGAAGCAAGCTGCGCGCCGAAGCGCGCGGGCCCGCGGAGCGGGGCAGACGGAAGCGCGCAGCAGCGCGAAACGTGTGCGAAGGCGCGTGGAAACGCTCAGTAGGGCGCAGGCGCACAGGCGCCCACAAGGCGCAGACGCACACGGGCGCCCGGGGCAGGTTTCCCGCTCCCGCGCCCAGACGGGTAATCTCAAAGCAATTCCACGGCTCATGGCCGCAACGGGCGCCCGGCGCGCCCGGAAGTGCAATCTAGGTGTGCGGAGGCGCGCTAAGGCGCACGGGCGCGCTGAGACGCGCGGTGTCGCACAGGGGCTCGCAGTGTCGCGGGCGCAACCAAATGCGCGCAGAGATTCGAACGCGCTGCAGACGCGCGCGTAGGAACGCAGAGCAGAGAGGCGCGCAGCAGGCGTGCAGGCGGCAGGCACGTTCGCGCTGAAGCGAGGTTCGGCGCCCGCTGGCGCGGACCCTTGTGGCAGCTGCGTGAACCAGCTCTGTCCTTGCAATGGGCGCGACGGATTCCGACAAAGCTTCCTCAGCAGCTGCTGGGCTGGTCTCTGGGTGCAATGGGCGCTAGGGTGTTCCCAGGCGCCCAGCCCAGCAGCAGGCTTTTGCCTTCGCCCACTGTTCCTGCGGTGGACAGCCTGAGGAGATTTTCTCGGCCCTTAAATCACTTGTTATTTTATGGGCGGGAAAATGGACGAAGATGGCCAAAGCCATTATATTAGCCACGGCTTTGCGTGGTACGCGCCGTGGCAGACGTTCTGCAATTTCTTGTTGTTCTTGCGGGAACGTGCGTCCCAGGACGCTCCCATGTGCTCTGGCGCCTCCGTCGGGGGGCAGCGGTGTCGTCTCGTCGTCGCGTCTGTCTTGTCTGTCGTGTCCTGTCTGTCCCGTCGGTCTGGTCTGTCTGTCTCGTGGTTGCGTCTCCTGGGCACTGGCTGCCGCAGGCAGTCGACGCCAGGGGAGCGCCGGACACTGCGGGTTTACCCGCGCTCGCGCAAGCCTCGCCGAGGCAGGAGGCGTGCGCCAAGCACTGCGGGTTCACCCGCGCTGCGGCGCTGCCTTGCGCAGGCTTGGGCAGGAGGCGTGCAGCGCACGCATTGCCACTCCCACCCGCCCAGCTGCTGGGCGCAACGCTTCAGGCTGTCCGCTGGGTCTGGGCGCTAGGGTGTTCCCAGGCGCCCAGCCCAGCAGCAGGCTTTTGCCTTCGCCCACTGTTCCTGCGGTGGACAGCCTGAGGAGATTTTCCGAACAATTCAACATTACGAGTGAATGATCTACACATCCGCTTTTTATGGTAATCGTATTCATAGGTGAGCGGAAATATCTTTGCCTTGAGCCAGGATTGCTCGAGGCCTCTCCGTGAGGAGATTTTCTATGAACCTCGAAGAAAGCATTTTTATCTTCGAAGGGGATTTCGTTTCCCCAAAAACCCTCCACGAGGGTAGCTTGGATTCTGGAGGGGGGCGTTCTTGTTTGATCCTGGAAGGGAGGGTTCAAAACATCTAAGACGTTTTTTGGGGCTCCTAGAGAGTGGGTTCGTTCAAAAAACAAACACTCGAAGCATTTGTGTTTGGACTGGTTGTTCGGATCGTGGGGAAACGGTTCGCTCAAACATCCCCCTGGCCCTTCCTGACACGCGCGCGGCATGGCCCGCGTGCCCACCCCCAGCACGATCGCAAGGGAGTTCGAGTGAATTCAACATGCGGCGCGAGAAGCCCACTTGGCA